AAACCCTTTCCATTTGACTATGGTTCCTATTTCCACTTCAGTGGTATTGGGGAACAATGAGCAGTAACAGAGGGAATTGTTTGATAGATAAGGGTTGGACTGTTGAAGATATTTCTTGTTTAGTTCATTCTTTTATTTTTCATAGTCCAAAGTTGAAAATCATTGTTGACTCCTTTTTTATAAGTAATGTCTAAACAGAATTTGTCGAGTTTTTTTATGTATACTAGCAGAAAGCACATTGTGTGCATAACGTTGTCTGACGGGGTGCTATTTTTTGTTATTGTAACTGTTCCAGAAGTATAAGTAATTTTAATTAATGACATTAACATGATGTCTCCATAGAAAATTAAAGTTACTTTAGAAAGGTTACTAAATCACATGGTTCATGACACTTGGGGCATCCTTATAGTGGTTGCCCTTTCATTAACAGCAATCATTTTTCTTTGTCTTAACCCATCCCACCCCCTCTTGCCAAAGACATATTTTTTTTCTCCTGATATTGCAATCACATTTGTGTCCATACTAGTCACATGCAGAATATTTCCAGATATCTGCCATCGATGATATTTTTTAGGTTTTACTACCATGGTATATAATCTTGAGAAATTTTTTCTTTTGAGAAATAGTAACAATTATATTAGTAGAAAAGTGCTGAAATAAAAAATTTGTAAAAGAAAAGAATATTTCTTGTAGAAGAAGAGAAGAGAGGAGAAAAGGAAGAGAAGAGATTTGAGAGAGAAAAGAGAGCAATAATGCTGGCCGCCCTCTTCACTATTATTTATAGTCTAAAATATAAAGAGTATAAAGACCAATATGCCCTTATAGGGCGGTTAACACATAAAACAATTAAAATAACTGCTCAAAAAGGATCCAACAAGAGTGTTGTGGTCCCCACTTCCAATCTAAATGGTAAATAATCAAAATTTTGGGAACACCATTGGGTTAGGGATTCACCCTTGATGGACCAATTTCCCTCTTTGTATGCTTTGTTAGATTTGAAACATGAACCCATCTCATCCTTCTTAAGCCCTTCTGTTTCTTCTTTTGGTTTTGGGTGGAAGTTAGGCCTAAGAAGGGCAATTAAGGATACATACTTGGGATGCATCATGTCTCTGTTAGCCATCCTTGAAAATGTCTTCTTGGACCCTAATAAGGAGGACACCAGATTTTGGATCCCTTCCTCCTCAGGTAATTTCTCCTGTGCTTTGTTTTTTGAGACATTAACTCAGCCTTCTGTTCCTGTTGGGTTGTCCTTCCCGGTTAAAGAAGTTTGGAGTAAGCCCATTCCTCCTCGGGTTAGTAGTTTTTGTTGGGAAACTTTCTTGTAAAGAATTAACACAAATGACCTACTTTAGAAAAAGAGACTCAATTCTTGTTTACTTCCTAATAGATGTACTCTCTGTAAAGTTGATGGGGAAACTAGTTACCACCTCATGGTTACTTGCTCGGTCGCGAAAACAGTATTGGAGTGGGCTTTATCCCTCTTTGGGTGTATTTGGACTCTCCCTAGGAGTGTCTTAAGCTTGTTCTCTTCATTTTTTAGATGGCCGAAGAAAAGAGGGAAGATTATGTGGAGAAGCATTAGGGCAGCAGTGTGTTGGTCCCTATGGGAAGAAAGAAACTCTCGAATATTTTCAGGTAAGGAAAGAACCTTGGAAGATTTATTAGATATAAATCTTGTAAGGGTAGCACACTGACTGAAAACTATGGAGCTGTTCTCAGGCTATTCTGTGGCTGATTTGGTAAGAAATTGGAAAGAGATAGCTACCTCTGCCCTATGTAAGAGGACTCGTAGCCCTTCTTGGACCCCTCCTCCCTCTGGGTTCATAAAACTGAATTTTAATGGTAGTTGCTTAAGGAATCCAGGGCCTTTTGGGATTGGGGGAGTGTTCAGGAATGAGGGTGGGGTTGTTATTGCCATGTTCTCAGGCCCAATTGGAGGAGACTCTCTTAGGGCTGAGATTTTTGCAGCTCTGGAAGGTATCCAAAGAGCGAAAGATTTGAACATCAAACGTTTGGTCCTTGAAGGTGACTCGGAGGTGGTGATTAGATGGCTAAAAGAAGAAAACAATGGTTTGTGGAGGTATAACTGTTACAGACTGTATAATTAAAATAGGAAGATGTTACAGACTGTATAATTAAAATAGGAAGTAAATACTAGGGGGATATGATGTTACAGACTGTATAACTAAAATAGGAAGTAAATACTAGGGTGATATGATTTACCTTGATTGTAGGACAGATTTGTACGAATTTGATTAGTCTTCTTTCCTAATATATTCTTTCCTAACATAGAATTTGTAACTTGTATATATACATACGAGATTGATGAATAATATAACAAATTCTTCTTCTTCCTCTGTTTACTCTTATTTTACATGGTATCAGAGCATCTAGTCTCTGCCTGCCCTTTTGTTTTCTTTAAGTAAACAGTAGGTAGAGGAAAATTTCTGGGTGTTTCGGGTCACCTCCTTGGAGCAGTCAGAGCATCTAGTCTCTGCAAAGTCCGACAGTCAGCAGCCCTGCGCGTGTCTCTCGCACCGCCTGAAGATTCTGCCACAGTCACGCGCGCCGGCACGTGGAGGCACATCTGTCGCCGGAATTTTTTTTTTCGGTCGTTGTCTTTTGGCTCGCCTCGTCCTGTATAGCACATATTTGTGCTTTGTTATGTGCATATCCATTCCGGTGTTTTCAATAGGTGTGCTCTGNCAATTTGAGAAGATTTTGTGTAATTCTAGGTTTGTTGTGTCCTCTTGGTTGATGGTTCTAAAAGTAGCTTGACTTTTAAGGGATTAACCTCCCTTTACTAGCATGAACCCTTAAAATTCTGTGTGTCTTCTAGGTTGTGTCCTCCAGGTTGGGGGAAAAAACAATTTTGGAGGAAAACGGAACCGGTCAAGTGATTAGTTCCCGGTTTTTCCAGTTCGACTGTCCGGTTCGGTCTGGTTTTGAAAACAGTAGTTCAAAATGAATCGTTCTTGTAGTTGGTTAATTCGATCAGTTGGATTGATTTTGGGTGTAAATTAAAATTCTTCAATGTATAGAATTGTAGATTATAAATTGAACACTTTTGGATTAGTGTAAATAGAACCATGGATGATGCTTTACCATCTAAAGGTTTCAAAAATAGTTGAACTAGGACAAAATACTAGGAATATAATTCAATAAGTAAATAGAAGGAATTATCCTAAACTTCTTATGGAACAAAACATCACAACCACTATAAATGGAGCTCAATTCTACATTTGCATATATGATTTCTGCTCTAACCTCAAGTGGGTGAATTCATGAATATAAATAAATTTCTACAAATTAAATTTCTCAACGATCTCTTTACCGATGATTCAATTCTCAATTAAACAAATAATCAAGTTAAAAGCTATATGTGGTTATAAATATTGAGGAACCAAATACCTCATTTTCGAGAGACATAGTGGTTTCCTCTTGGGTGTAATCGACGATTGCCAAAGACCCTTTTTTCATTCCTTGACCATCTAAAAGATTGGCATGCTGTGGAGGTGGAACCTGCTACAACGGTGAGGGTGGAAGTGACGTTTGGGGCTGCTGCGGTGTCCATGTTGCAGCCCTATCGCTTTGGGGGGTCGAATGATTGTTGGGAAGGGAAGCTTCATACTAAGGAGTAGTAGCGGCTTCAGGGGCAGATGTAGAAACAATCGCGTCTTCTTTGTTTTTCTACATCTTCTCCTTCTTCTTCTTCGTCGAGATCCTCCATGTCCTCATCTTCATCATTGTACATGGACAATAGAGAGATACCTTCGGATGCCTTCTTCTTGGAAGCCATGGAAACTAGGGTTTTGTTCCTCAAAAACTTAATTTAACGGAGAAAGAAGGAAACTTTGGAGTTGTCCTCTGCTAACACTTGTCTAAGAAGACGAAGGTTAAAGATGGAAAGGAGCGCTGCTGGGGAGACTAAGGGGGAGCGAGGGAGGAGAAAATGAGGATGAGAAAGAGGAGTGACGTTGGGGAGGAGAACTTGCAGTTGCAATTGTAGAATCAGTCGAAGAGAAGAGAGTTGAAAGTGTGAGAGAACGAAAGTTGTAGTTGGAGAAGCAGTTGAAGAGAATAGAGTTGAGAGTGTGAGAGAACGAAAGAGAGGATAGGGCGAGCAGGAGAGAACAATGATTGTGGGCCCTAATAGGATCGTTTTAGTCTTTGCAATTTAAGAATAAATTTCAAAATAAAATTTTAAATAAATATTATTGTGACATATAATCCGAATTAGATTGCCACCTCAAAAGAAAAAGCATAGGTATCTTATAATTTCAAAAGATGAATTTGAGAGTCATTGTAAATTTTATATGGACTGCTTGTACTTTTTCCTTTTATTTTTTGTTTCCTATCTCTATATAATTATTACTACCCTGCGTTCCTCACCTTTGTCTACCGGTCCGAGGTGGGTAATTCGTAACTTATCTACTTTGAATCACCTGACAAGATTCAAGATGCTCCCAAGCCCCAAACGTGTACTTCTACGAACAGATTTTCACCACGGTATCTCTCTCCTTCTGCAACTCTTAAATGCATATGTAAAGATAAAAACTAGCCATTATTTTGTCTTCTTCTCATGATAACCATTCACCTTGTCTCTCTTTGTTCATTCACTTGAAAAGAGAAAGGAACAGATAATGGAAAGAAGAGAGAGGCCACAGTGGTTCCTGTTTTCTATACTTTTGTTAATCTATCAATCAATGAAACCAATAAAAAGACCGAAAGAAGACAAATATGAAGAAGATACCCGAGCAAAAGACCAAAAGATCAACGTTAAAAAGGAGGGAAGAAAAGAAATAACATCTGATCATGATTCATGAATGCAGACTTATCGAGAACAGACCGCAGACACCAATCCAAACTGCGAGTACTCTTCCACACCTGTCGGACCACGACCTTAAGAAAAAAAAGATCCTTCGTTACGAGATATTGGATATCTCGCGACACGATAAATAGAAAAAATAAATAGGGGCTATATGTAAGGAGTGAGGGAGGGGGAGAAAAGGAGGGAAAGAAAAGTAAAAAAGAAAAGTTCCCAGATTGCTAAAACATTATAGGTTTGCAGGCTTTGGTTTGTTTAGATCGTCTCTGCAAAAAATTTTACTTCCCAGGTGGGGTGTGGACATGAGCGACGGATATTCTCCTCATAGTAACAACGGCGGTGTATGAATAGCAGTGGTGACGGCAACGGCGGAAATATGACGAAGAAAGCCAAGAAGAAGGGTGGCAGTAAGAAGAATAAGAAGATGACTGTGGAGCAGAGTCTTGCTGCCAAATATGTGAGCGAATGGGCTTTTCTGGATTCTAATTCCGCTTCTACTTCTTCTTCTGTCGATGATTTTGGGGTGCAGAGGAGTCATAATAAATTTGCGGATAGGGTGGTATTCGAGTTACATTCTCATTCGACTCGTAGTGATGGGGTTTTGTCTCCTACAGCGCTTGTTGAGAGAGCCCATAGAAACGGGGTAATTTATTTCTTTGTAATTTATTTTTTACGGTCTTTGTCACCGAATGAATATATCAGGTGGATTTTGCTTCAAGATTGCTATCCTTGTTCATTATTTCAGTCTTGTTGAATGAATATCTGATATAGGTCTTCTTTTCTGATGGATATTGTGAGTTGTTTTGGTTATTTTATTTGGTATATCAAACGGGAAAAAATCTAGCCGGAAAGACCTGATACCGGAAAGACTTTGACCAATCAAACCCCCCCATGAATTTTGACGAAAACCCACCTCATTGCTTATCACTTTTATGATACCGGCTGATTGGTTATAAGTTCATCCGGCATCATAGTCGGTTTCTATTTTTGTTGTTTTTGGTGGTTATTCCGTTACTGACGTTTGCTTTTGTTTTTGACTCCCTGTTTTGCTTTTGAACTTGACTTTTGTTTATTTTTGTTATGCTTTCTACGTTCGTATTTCTTCTGTGTTTTGAAATGGATGCTTGTCTGATAATTTTAGCAGGTAGATATGTTGCCTTTTGTTATTTCCAGTTGCTGGCTCCGTATTTTATTAGGAATTTGGTTGGTTTCTCTTTTGGTGCTTGTTTCTTAATTATATGCTATTCATTTTATATGATAGTCTATATCTATTTTTTTGAACTTTTTGCTTGGTTTACTTTATTCTATTGCTGCTTTAGTAACATACATTGCTGTACATGTTGAAGCTTTAGAAAATGTACAAATTACACATAATTTCTATGAGCCCATATGTAATTAAATTTAATAAATAATTAAGAAAAGATTAGTTTATGCTTGCTGTTTTGTGCAAAATGGTTATTTGAGTTTAGGATTTATGATCAGGACAGGTTCTCTCTCTCTCTCTCTCTCTCCCCCCCCCCTTGAAAATCTGTTTCTTTTAGTTATTTTTTCCTGGGGTATGGCACTCAAATTTACAAGGCTTTGAGGCTTTTGTATCCCTGAATTTACTGATTAGAACTTTAATCCATAATAAAAAGTGCATTGGGAAGGTAAAAAACATATATTGGGGGAAGAAGGTAAATAACCGAAAATGGAATCATAGAACCTTTTTGGGTTATTTGCTGGTGCTCTGCTGCCCAATGTTGGTTCCAGCTATCTGGGGTATTGGGAGGGCTAGACTGGTTAAGACCTAGCACAGTGGTTGGTATCAGGATTGAACCCGTATTCTCATGCTCATCAGCCCAAGATTTTACCATTGCACCAAGCAATGGCCCTAAAAATACAATAACTAATTGGTTTATTAATTGGTTGCCTTTCCCTCTAAATTCTCCAAGAAGTTCTTTTCCTATTAACCAACTCATCCATATAATTTCACACAAATTTATTGTCCTCTTATAAATTCTGTTCTCTTTCTTCACTAAATTTATCCCTTAATTACCCATATAACTATTTGAGATTCCCTAAACTAATTTATCATATCTTCCTAATTGTCTCTGAATGTAATAAAAAATATTACTTGAGGTGCATGTGCATTAATAATATTGATAATCTCTATGCACACTTTATCAACAAAATTGCATTACCTACTCTCTTAGTGTTTACCATTTTATGGCCTTTATTTACATCAGTCCTTTCCTATGTACCAAAGTTTATAATCATTCATATACTCAGCTTTAGCTCCTTGTCCATTTAATATTCTAAAGATATGATTATATGAAATGTTGGAATCCTTTCCATAAAATCTATGGTCATTGCTGTTTCCAGCTAAAGTCCCTAGTTGTATTCCATTCTCCTGGACTATCAATTTATTCGTGTTCTTTTGGTGCAAGAATCCCCTCTTAATTTCGATAATTGGGTACTGCTATTTGTCACTTATATGGATGTCAAAGAGTGCTCCCCCCTTCTATGAGTGTGTGGGTGGGTGGTTGTAATGATCATTGATAAAAAGCATTTGTTGATAGTATAGAAAAGGTACAAAAAAGCTATACAGAAAGCCAACAATTAAAAGAAAAGTCAATTCAAGAGCTATGCAGGCTATACATCTTATCTTTTATTTTTTTGGTGCGATCTTATGTCACTTTCCATGCACTTTTCCTTTTCAATGCCCAACTACAGCAAGTCTGTATTAGTTTTAAGCTCCTCTGGAATCCATTTTGGAACAATGGTGGATGAACCTAAAGCATTTTGATCTTATTCAAAAGTGCAGAAGCCTCAAAGGGCCTCTCTGAAAGCATTTATCAGAAGCTCTCTAACACTGACAAGAAGAGTAATTACCTAGGCTTTAGTGGGATTGATATCTCCATAAAGGCATTATAACTGAATCACATTTCCTCTGCTATCAAAAGACAAGTCCCTTCAATCCTAGATGGGCCCATGTTTTGTGAGGAACTACTGTCTAGTCTTGACCATATCTCCTCATTGGAGCTTGGAAGTGTCATCACAAAAGATAATAGTTAGTGAAGGGTAACATCGTGACTGTAGGATTGAAAAAACAAGATGTGGCAGATCTCACCATTATTAATGCCCCCAAGTTCCTTATGAATCAATGCTTGGTAGATGATATAATCATTTCACATAGACTTGGTAAGAGATGGGAAACATGTTTGATATCATTTGATTGAATAGTTAAACTCAAATTCTTGTTCTAAAAAACCCTTGAATTACCTTCCATAAAAATTTAACCCCAATCTCAAACCCTTTCCATTTGACTATGGTTCCTATTTCCACTTCAGTGGTATTGGGGAACAATGAGCAGTAACAGAGGGAATTGTTTGATAGATAAGGGTTGGACTGTTGAAGATATTTCTTGTTTAGTTCATTCTTTTATTTTTCATAGTCCAAAGTTGAAAATCATTGTTGACTCCTTTTTTATAAGTAATGTCTAAACAGAATTTGTCGAGTTTTTTTATGTATACTAGCAGAAAGCACATTGTGTGCATAACGTTGTCTGACGGGGTGCTATTTTTTGTTATTGTAACTGTTCCAGAAGTATAAGTAATTTTAATTAATGACATTAACATGATGTCTCCATAGAAAATTAAAGTTACTTTAGAAAGGTTACTAAATCACATGGTTCATGACACTTGGGGCATCCTTATAGTGGTTGCCCTTTCATTAACAGCAATCATTTTTCTTTGTCTTAACCCATCCCACCCCCTCTTGCCAAAGACATATTTTTTTTCTCCTGATATTGCAATCACATTTGTGTCCATACTAGTCACATGCAGAATATTTCCAGATATCTGCCATCGATGATATTTTTTAGGTTTTACTACCATGGTATATAATCTTGAGAAATTTTTTCTTTTGAGAAATAGTAACAATTATATTAGTAGAAAAGTGCTGAAATAAAAAATTTGTAAAAGAAAAGAATATTTCTTGTAGAAGAAGAGAAGAGAGGAGAAAAGGAAGAGAAGAGATTTGAGAGAGAAAAGAGAGCAATAATGCTGGCCGCCCTCTTCACTATTATTTATAGTCTAAAATATAAAGAGTATAAAGACCAATATGCCCTTATAGGGCGGTTAACACATAAAACAATTAAAATAACTGCTCAAAAAGGATCCAACAAGAGTGTTGTGGTCCCCACTTCCAATCTAAATGGTAAATAATCAAAATTTTGGGAACACCATTGGGTTAGGGATTCACCCTTGATGGACCAATTTCCCTCTTTGTATGCTTTGTTAGATTTGAAACATGAACCCATCTCATCCTTCTTAAGCCCTTCTGTTTCTTCTTTTGGTTTTGGGTGGAAGTTAGGCCTAAGAAGGGCAATTAAGGATACATACTTGGGATGCATCATGTCTCTGTTAGCCATCCTTGAAAATGTCTTCTTGGACCCTAATAAGGAGGACACCAGATTTTGGATCCCTTCCTCCTCAGGTAATTTCTCCTGTGCTTTGTTTTTTGAGACATTAACTCAGCCTTCTGTTCCTGTTGGGTTGTCCTTCCCGGTTAAAGAAGTTTGGAGTAAGCCCATTCCTCCTCGGGTTAGTAGTTTTTGTTGGGAAACTTTCTTGTAAAGAATTAACACAAATGACCTACTTTAGAAAAAGAGACTCAATTCTTGTTTACTTCCTAATAGATGTACTCTCTGTAAAGTTGATGGGGAAACTAGTTACCACCTCATGGTTACTTGCTCGGTCGCGAAAACAGTATTGGAGTGGGCTTTATCCCTCTTTGGGTGTATTTGGACTCTCCCTAGGAGTGTCTTAAGCTTGTTCTCTTCATTTTTTAGATGGCCGAAGAAAAGAGGGAAGATTATGTGGAGAAGCATTAGGGCAGCAGTGTGTTGGTCCCTATGGGAAGAAAGAAACTCTCGAATATTTTCAGGTAAGGAAAGAACCTTGGAAGATTTATTAGATATAAATCTTGTAAGGGTAGCACACTGACTGAAAACTATGGAGCTGTTCTCAGGCTATTCTGTGGCTGATTTGGTAAGAAATTGGAAAGAGATAGCTACCTCTGCCCTATGTAAGAGGACTCGTAGCCCTTCTTGGACCCCTCCTCCCTCTGGGTTCATAAAACTGAATTTTAATGGTAGTTGCTTAAGGAATCCAGGGCCTTTTGGGATTGGGGGAGTGTTCAGGAATGAGGGTGGGGTTGTTATTGCCATGTTCTCAGGCCCAATTGGAGGAGACTCTCTTAGGGCTGAGATTTTTGCAGCTCTGGAAGGTATCCAAAGAGCGAAAGATTTGAACATCAAACGTTTGGTCCTTGAAGGTGACTCGGAGGTGGTGATTAGATGGCTAAAAGAAGAAAACAATGGTTTGTGGAGGTATAACTGTTACAGACTGTATAATTAAAATAGGAAGATGTTACAGACTGTATAATTAAAATAGGAAGTAAATACTAGGGGGATATGATGTTACAGACTGTATAACTAAAATAGGAAGTAAATACTAGGGTGATATGATTTACCTTGATTGTAGGACAGATTTGTACGAATTTGATTAGTCTTCTTTCCTAATATATTCTTTCCTAACATAGAATTTGTAACTTGTATATATACATACGAGATTGATGAATAATATAACAAATTCATCT